ATGACAAACCTACAGCCAGCATTATACTTAACGGAGAAAAACTGAAACCATTCCCTCTAAAATCAGGAACCAGACAAGGATGCCCACTATCTCCACTCCTATTCAACATAGTACTGGAATTCCTAGCCAGAGCAATTAGGCAAGAAGAAGGAATAAAAGGAATACAAATAGGTAAAGAAACTGTCAAAATATCCCTATTTGCAGACGACATGATCCTATACCTTAAAGACCCAAAAAATCTACTCAGAAGCTCTGAGACACCATCAATAGCTATAGCAAGGTAGCAGGATATAAAATCAACATAGAAAAATCATTAGCATTTCTATACACTAACAATGAGCAAACTGAAAAAGAATGTATGAAAACAATTCCATTTACAATAGCCTCAAAAAAAAATCAAATACCTAGGTGTAAACCTAACAAAGATGTGAAACCTCTACAAGGAAACTATAACTTCTGAAGAGATTGAGGAAGACTATAGAAAGTGGAGAGATCTCCCATGCTCATGGATTGGTAGAATCAACATAGTAAAAATGTCTATACTCCCAAAAGTAATCTACATGTTTAATGCAATTCCCATCAAAATTCCAATGACATTCATTAAAGAGATTGAAAAATCTACTGTTAAATTTATATGGAAACACAAGAGGCCACGAATAGATAAGACAATACTCAGTCAAAAGAACAATGCTGGAGGTATCACAATACCTAACTTCAAACTATATTACAAAGCAATAACAATAAAAACAGCATGGTACTGGCACAAAAACAGACATGAAGACCAGTGGAACAGAATAGAGGACCCAGATATGAAGCCACACAACTATAACCAACTTGTCTTTGACAAAGGCACTAAAAATATACGATGGAGAAAAGCAGCCTCTTCAACAAAAACTGCTGGGAAAACTGGTTAGCAGTCTGCAAAAAACTGAAACTAGATCCATGTATATCACCCTATACCAATATTAACTCAAAATGGATCAAGGATCTTAATATCAGACCACAAACTCTAAAGTTGGTACAGGAAAGAGTAGGAAATACTCTGGAATTAGTAGGTATAGGCAAGAACTTTCTCAATGGAACCCCAGCAGCACAGCAACTAAGAGATAGCATAGATAAATGGGACTTCATAAAACTAAAAAGCTTCTGCTCAACAAAAGAAATGGTCTCTAAACTGAAGAGAACACCCACAGAGTGGGAGAAAATATTTGCCAGCTATACATCAGACAAAGGACTGATAACCAGAATATATAGGGAACTTAAAAAACTAAATTCTCCCAAAACTAATGAACCAATAAAGAAATGGGCAAGTGAACTAAACAGAACTTTCTCAAAAGAAGAAATTCAAATGGCCAAAAACACATGAAAAAATGCTCACCATCTCTAGCAATAAAGGAAATGCAAATTAAAACCACACTAAGATTCCACCTCACCCCTGTTAGAATAGCCATCATTAGCAACACCACTAACAACAGGTGTTGGCGAGGATTCGGGGAAAAAGGAACCCTCTTACACTGCTGGTGGGAATGTAAACTAGTACAACCACTCTGGAAAAAAATTTGGAGGCTACTTAAAAAGCTAAACATCTACCATTTGATCCAGCAATACCACTCTTGGGGATATACCCAAAAGACTGTGACACAGGTTACTCCAGAGGCACCTGCACACCCATGTTTATTGCAGCACTATTCACAATAGCCAAGTTATGGAAACAGCCAAGATGCCCCACTACTGACGAATGGATTAAGAAAATGTGGTATCTATACACAATGGAATTTTATGCAGCCATGAAGAAGAACGAAATGTTATCATTCGCTGGTAAATGGATGGAATTGGAGAACATCATTCTGAGTGAGGTTAGCCTGGCCCAAAAGACCAAAAATCGTATGTTCTCCCTCATATGTGGACATTAGATCAAGGGCAAACACAACAAGGGGATTGGACTTTGATCACATGATAAAGCAAGAGCACACAAGGGAGTATGAGGATAGGTAAGACACCTAAAAAACTAGATAGCATTTGTTGCCCTCAACACAGAGAAACTAAAGCAGATATTTAAAGCAACTGAGGCCAGTAGGAGAAGGGGACCAGGAACTAGAGAAAAGGTTAGTTCAAGAAGAATTAACTTAGAAGGTAACACACACGCACAGGAAATCAATGTGAGTCAACTCCCTGTATAGCTATCCTTATCTCAACCAGCAAAACCCCTTGTTGCTTCCTATTATTGCTTATACTCTCTCTACAACAAAATGAGAAATAAGGGCAAAATAGTTTCTGCCAGGTAGCGAGGGGGTTGGGGGAAGGGAGGGGGCAGGGGGAAGGGAGGGGGCAGGGGGAAGGGGGGAGAAATGACCCAAACATTGTATGCATATATGAATAAAATAAAAAAAAAAAAAAAGAATTGGCTTTAAAGAACAGTCATCAAAAAAGACTAGTAAATCTAAAGAAGCCAAAATACAATAGCATTGCCTCTTTCTTTTGGTGAGCTGGTCAAGTGTGAGCCAAAATGAACAGCAATAGACATTTGGTTCACCCGGTAGTACCCTTTATTCCTGTTTCATTTTACACTGACCCTACTCCTTACTCTTTTGCACACACTGCCATATGTAATAACTTAGAATTCAAAATCTAAACATTGAAACCTTAGCATGATACTATTTCAAGCAATGATTCTCTCTGCACATAACTTTTAAGCTTGTAGTTTAAATGAGCTTTTTGCTCATTAAGTCCACCTAATTTCCATGGTATTGTTAAATTAGTAGTAATTTAACAGTGTCTCTTCAGGGCCCACACTGACCATTTGACTTTAGGCTTTATGAAAGAGCCTAAGATAGGAACAGGTAATTTATAGCACAGCTAGACAAAAGAATGAATATTTAGCATCTCTGATAATCACAGATACACAAATTATTATGATCCCATTTTAAATAAACAAAGCTTAAAAATAATTACAAAATTCATTATTATTGTGGGTATGGGAAAACAATACTCAGATACAATGTTAGTTTAAGTAAGTCAGTATGGATAGAAGACCTTTTTACTAGGAATTGAACTCAAATGTTCCACCACTTAAACCATTTGTTTTTCAGATAGAGTCTTGTGTTTCTGCCCGGTCAGCCTCAGACCACACCTCCACCTCCCAAGTACCAAGAACTACAGAAGAACTGCCACCATGCCCAGCTTCTGAGATAGGGTCTTGCTAACTCTTGCCCACGCTGGCCCTCAATGGAACTGTAATCCTCTTGTCTCTGCCTCCAAAAACCTTTTTAAAGTTCAACCCCTTTGACTAAGTGATTTCTTTTGTAGGAATTCATTTGAAGGTGTATCTGTTTCCTGTAGTAGCTACCCTAACAATTTACTATAAACACAGTAGGTTAAAACAATACAAATAAATTCTCTAACAATTCTAGAGGCTAGAAATCCAATGGGAAGGTATGGGCAGGCAGCACGGTCTCTGGAGGCTCATGGAGAGCTTCCATTCCTTGCCTTTTCCAGTTTCAGGTGACTGCCAGCCTTCTTGGGCTTTAGTCTCTGCCTCCACCTTCACAGTACTTTTTCCTCTGGGAGGCTCTTCTCCCTCCACCTCTCTCTTGTAAGTATATTCACCTATCATGGCACTTAGGGCCCATATCAATATTCCTGATTATCTCCTCACCTCAAGTTCCTTATTTGTTTCAAATAAGGTAACACTCACAGCTTCTATGGACTTGACAAGGACCTCTGGAGGAAGGGTGTTATTTAGCCTACTACAGAAGGTAAAGCATGGCAGCCTAGGGTCCTCTGACTTCTCACACAATGGCTGGCTTTCCTCTGTGTCTAGGAACAGAAATGCCAGTCTTCATGAAGACAAGGCCTGGAAATAGCATAGTATCATTTTGTTTGTAATCAAAGTTATCCCAGGCTAGCCCAGCTGAAAAGAAAGGGAGAAATAGATTCCACCTCTCCAGAGGAGTAGAATGAAAGTGAATAGAGAGAAGGACCTCACGGCAGCCATATCACACGGGTTAATTCTTACTGACAGCCCACCTACTAATGTGAACTACACATTAGTGAAGTTACAAAACAACATGTATCTAATTTTGTCCCACTTTATTCTTTAAAAAATATGTGGATATTTACACTAAACAGGTCTCAAAAGATAAAAATTAAAATATTAGTGGTGATTGAATGTTAAAAAGTCAGGTGATAGTGTTGCTTTTCTTTTTTGCCTACTAATATTTTCTAAAATAGATTACCCACCTGAGTTCAAACCCCAGTACTCCCCCCAAAAGTCACAATGAGGCTCGTTATTTTGTATTATTAGTATAATGCTAATTCGAAAATATATATGTACAAGAGAGAAAAATAGAAATATGTATGCAGAATTGATTGGCTGGTCTCGAACTATATGACTATAAAAGAACAGGAGATAGGACAAACTGGTACTAGATTTTTTTTTTTTTTTCAGTACTGGGGCTTGAACTCAGGGCCTTCACCTTGAGCCACTCCAACAAACCTATTTCTGTGATGAGTTTTTTCAAGATAGGGTCTATTTGCCCCGGGCTGGCTTCAAACTGCGATCCTCCTGGTCTCTGCCTCCTGAGTATCTAGGATTACAGATGTGAGCCACTGGCGCCTGGCCTGGTACCAGATTTTTATGAAAGGGGTTGCACAGGCCTAAGTGATACCTGGAGAGGGGACCGTTGACAGTTAGAGGACAATGGCATAAAATACCCTCTAGAAGAATCTAAGAAGGCCAGAAAGCAAATGCAAAGACACACTGGGCCTACTTCCCAGGTTTCCCTGCCCTGTGCCCCTCACCCTTGCACAGACCCAAACCTAAATGCCACTAAAACATGCCTCAATCACACCTTTATAATTCTACCTGACACAATTTTTCCCATAAAAGGTGAGTCAAACCAAGAAAAGGGGAAAATTTTGGACTGGAAATTTTACTTTACTCCATATAGTCTATGACTCTGAGATTAAAAACAGAATGAATGTCATTCCCATCCACTTACCAACAGTTTCTTCAGATTCAGCCGTCAAAGACAGAAACCTTTTTGTATTTTCCATCTCCTCGCTACTTTGCAAGCCTTTACTGCTTTTTGCAGACTAATGAAAGAAAAATTAAAGTTTAAACACAGGAAAAGAAGGCAACTGTTCTCATTGATTTGTATTCCAACATAGTTCCCAATCATATACATATCAGCAAAAAAAGGGTCAAGCCGTTTACATCCCTTTAAGTAGGAAATTTGTTATCATTTCCAGTCTCCACAAAATTCTGTCCACAGGTTTCCCAGATAGAGCTGAAGTATTTGTTTACCATTATAGGACAATTACCTTGCTAAAGAATCTTTGGTTTCTATTAGATTTTTTTATAACTCACTAACAACCCAAAGGTACACCATCAAAATGAAATTTCAGAAGCTTTAAATTTGGTAGTGTGTTTTATTGTGTTTCCACTTATAACTCTCATCTCTCTCAAGAAAATAAAAACTACTTTGAGTTTCAATAGGAAAAAGTAATAGACTAACTTTTTTGTTATGCTTTATAGGAATTATTTCTCTAGTTCAAAACACTACACTTTGCTTTTTTTTCCATCTCAATGATCTTCCTGGGGAGCTTAAAAAAAAGTATTCCCAATCACTTCATTCTCTTTTTTTCTTTTAATCTTATGTCTGTCTCACATATACCACTTTCCATTGGGCTAGGGAAGAGGTAGTTTAATTGTGTGACATTTTTTCCCACAGAAGAATGCTACAACTGCTACCACTAAGAAGAACTGTAGACCAGTAGCTCTGGACATCACCTCATTCTTAATTCAGATAACTGCCTAGGGAATTTGCTCTGAAATTGGTCAGTGATTAAGGATGACTCTGTCAAAAACAACCTGTCTGTAATCAGTTTCTTACCGCAGGTACTCTCCTTTGAGGGGCAAAATTCAAATCTGAGTCCAGGGCTGTCTACCATGTCAGTGCCAGCCTCTGGTCAACTTCAACCCCTCAATACTATGGAGACAGGAGATGCAGAAGCAGTGGAGCATGGTCAGACCATAACACTTCATGGCTTTCTGAAGAGATCTCGGCCAGTGCATGAGACAGTGAATTCCCCAACCCGTTTGTCGCCAAGGTTTACTTAATAGTGCTAGCCACACAGTTACGTTTTTGTATACTTGTCTTTTTATCTCCATACTGTAAGCTCACTGAAGAAAATGCAGACATTTACACCTGATTAAAGTAGCTGTCACACCCTTTCCTATTCTAGAGGTGACAGGGCCCAAAGTCTGGGATGTTGCAGACCAACTTATCCTCTCTGGTTCCAGCGGAATATCACCCCTGCAGTCACAAACACACACACACACACACACACACACACACACACACACACACGCTCACTCACCTCCACAAAATAAGTCAATAAAGGCATGCCACACACTGACACTACTACAGGTCATGCTTTTCTTACTCATCTTAGAGGAAATAGTTTCTTACCTGTCAGCATATGGTTATACAACTCTTACCTTAAGTTCTTCCCACAGCTTTATTCTCATTTCTAGGCCTTGCTTCTTAATTTCTTTTTCTCTATGTTGTCTTTTTGCCAATATTTTATCAAGTCTGTTCATCTTATGAATAGCATCTTGAAGTTGAGAATCTATTTCTTTCAATTTGGGATCATCTGTATTGTGTTCAGAGTAGGAAATGAGTTTGAAGTTTCATAAAACCAAAAAGTTTTGGGGTTTTTTACTGTTTGTTCTTTCATTCAACAGATATTTATGACTGATGGTAATTACTACATTGGTGTCATGTAACTAACTTGATTTACAAGGTGGTTTATAATGCATGTTTTCATATAATTATCCAACAACCCTGTGAAATAGACATTTACCTCTATTTTACAGTTGAGATAGTTGGGTCCTTTCAAAAGGTAATAAATTATAGCACTGGACTCAGAAATGGTTCTCTTATTATTCTAAATCCCAAATTCTTTCTCTTTCACTCTCTATACCTCTGAATCCATGACTAACAAATAGGAAGAAAGGAGGAAGACCCTGACCCTATCCTAAAATTGCTTCAGACTAATGGAAAGAGAAGGCAGGTCTACTGAGAGCTCATAGTTGGTGATAATAGCAGCAAACATGCATAGATTCACCTTAGAGGGAAATGTTAAGTGCTTTATTTATGTGCATTGTTCCCTTCATCCTCTTCTTAACACTGGGAGGTTATATAGTTTGTCTATTGCTGTTTTTTCAAGTAAAAATGGCAATCCATTAAACATGGCATCCCAGTTCAGCTCTCAGCTCAAGCTATCACACAAGTGCCTTTCCCCAATGCAGTCCTTCCACTGGGGTCTCCATGAAACTGTTTTATGTCTACTTCCCATTTTGCCCCACAGGATATTAAGGCTGTGCATTATCTTAAAGTGATCCAATCAATTTTATTGACTTAATAAATTTTTTAAAAACATTTCCTTTTTTTATTTTATCGTTTTTACATTTACTCACATGTGTATACATTGTTTGGGCCACCTCCTCACCCCCTAACCCCCTACCCCCCTCACCTCCTGCAGAACCTGTTCTGCCCTCTTGTATTCAATTTTGTTGAAGAGAAAACATAAGAGATAATAAGAAAACAATAGCATTTTGCTAGTTTGAGATAAAGACAGCTATGTGAGAGATTCCTAGCACTGTAATTTGCAGCTCACACTGGTTCATCTCTACCAGACCTCTTCACTACCTCCTGGTCCCCTCCCCTTAGTGGCCTCTGCCAGTTTAAGATTACCATATTTGCCCCTCTACAGTGAGCACCTCAACCATATTCAAGATTTAGGTTTCCTTCCCTTTCCCTACTCTTCCCATGTGTGTTCTCCCCTTAGTGTGTGGCCCATGTCCAATAATATTACTGCATTTTTTTTAAAAAAATATTTCTACTACTTCATCAGGGACATCCTTGAGTGACACTGCCTACTTCTTGTGCCTGCCGGTGCCAGGAAGTGACTGCTGCACAGTCTGTCCTGACTCAGGCTAAGGCGTTAGCAGTCCAGCCCACCATTGCTTTTGTGCCATCAGCTCAAATGTCAACACAGGGACAGAATAGCAAGTAGCATCTGAGTGTTTTTATGAAAACAGTGTTTATCATGCAGCACTGCTGCAAGGCTCAGGGACACCCCATCCCCAGAGGTCTACAAATCATACTTGAGAACCACTGTTCTAACCCAATCTAGCCAGAATTAGTGAAAAAATAGCTTTTTAAATACAAATGTTGTTAATTCTGAGTGGGATTATTCCTTAAAGAGTTTTATAAATTATAGTATATATATTATTCTGAAATTTTAATCATCAAAATTACCCATAAATCATGATATAAGATGCAAAAATACCACCTACTTGATTAATGTTAAATGAGCATGAGAACAATTTTAATAAATGACATATTTGTTAAATTTATAAATACATTTAGGTGCTCTCAATATTCTTATTATTTAAAAATGGTGATTTTTCTCACAAAAAGTATGCCTAATTTTGGGGTTTTTTTTCCTTTTTAATGATACTAGGATTTGAACTCAGGACCTCAACCTTGCTAGGCAAGCAAGGTCACCCTGTCACTTGGGCTATACCCCAGTCTATTATTTTTACTTAGCTAATAAAAACTCATGTAATTCCAGTATTTTAAATATAACATCTGTAGTTATCATTGTCCAACCACCTGGTGATTGTCCTACCTGAGCGCTCAGAGGTTATGGGATGCTGAACCAGGTCCAGATCTTCCACTTGACCCTTCTTGGACCAGTTTTATTTTCTCGGAGTAGTTTGCCCATCTAGCATCACTACTATTTCTTCTTTCTTCTCTATTACTGATTTCTGAGTGGTCCTCTTTACCAGAATTCAATTTGCTTGCAGTATCAATCTAAAAATAATTTCCAAAACACAGGTTACAAAAATTAATATATTTTCTCCTGCTTGACCAAAGGATACTGAAAAAAAATAATGTATTTACTTAAAACCTTATACTTCAGAATATCTTAACACTAATGAAATCATATGTGGAGATAAATAGAGAGAGATAGAGATGCAAATATACACACAGACACACACTAGCATTAAAATATCTAGAAGTGTAACACTTTTTAATTAAATGTAATTTAACTGTACAATTAAATTCAATAACACTTACACCAATGACTATGTGGTATAGGCATTACTACCTCACTCAACAGAAGACAACACAGATTTGGTACAGGATGAAACTAGTGAAGAACCAGCTCATAGATGAGTATGAATGCAAAAGAAGGAATCAAAAGACATGAGAAAAGGGCGATGCTGTAAAGAACAGATAGAATTGGGAAAAAAAACTAAAATGAACTTTTAGAAATTAAAGAGCATCATTAAACTGTAAATTTCAAGCCAGTAGCTCACACCTGTAATTCTAGTTACCCAGGAGGCAGATATCAGGAGGATCGTGATTCAATCCTCCTGGTCCTGGACAAGCAGTTCTCAAGACCCTATCTTGAACATACCCAACACAAAAAAAGGGCTGGTGGAGTGGCTCAAGTGGTAGAGCACCTGCCTGGCAAGCACAAGACCTCTGAGTTCAAACCCCAGTACTACCAAGAAAAAAAATTAAATTTCAGTAGATGGATTAAAAACAGATTAGAAAGAACTCAAAACCTGAAAATATATGCTAAAATTACTCAGAGTGAGGCAGAGAAAGACAAATGATTAGAAAATATTAAAAAGAAAAGAGAAATGAAGGATAAAAGGGTAAGTTTGAACAGACACTTAATATGACTTCTGGGTGGAGAAAACAGAAAAAACAGGCAATACTTGGAACATGGAAATTTATTTGGAAACATTAAAATATGGTTGGGGATTTCTCAAAACAGATGAAAGGCCCAAATCCTTACACTGAGGAAGTACTAGTCTCCAAAATGATAAATTGAATAAACCCATGCCTAGATGAGTGATAGTGACACCAAAGACAAAGAGAAAAAAGTTACAGCAACCAGAAAAAAATATCCAAGCTAGACAATCCATAGTAGAATGAACACGTGAGGCCACAAAGACTTCTCACTGGCAACAAGAGAGCCACAGCCAAATAAGCAACTCCTCCAAGGTGCTCTGTGAAGATAGTTCCTACTCAGCCATAATATTCCCATGAATGAGAGAAAAATAGACATTTTCAAAAGATGATTTAGAATTTGCCATTCACAGATGCTTAAAGAAAGATTAATGAAGGATATGTGTACATATATCTACTTCAAGATGAAAGATTACTAAAGAATATGTGTCTACTTGGGAGGCTGAGATGGAGAGGATCACAATTTAAGGCCAGTCCAGACAAAAAGTTAGCAAGACCCCATCTCAACCAATATCTGGGCACAGTGGTTCACACCTGTTATCCCAAGCCACACAAGAGGCTAAGATCAGGAGGATCATGGTTCCAGGCCAGCCAGGACAAAAAATCTTGGTGAGACTCCATCTCAATGGAAAAAACCTGGGCATGGTAGCACACACCTGTCATCCCAATCCTGGGCAAGAAGTGTAAAGCAGGAAGATTGTAGTTCAGGCCAGTAGGGGCAAAAAGTGAGATCCTAACTCCAAAGTAACCAGAGCAAAAAGGGTTGGGATATGGCTCAAGCGGTAGAGTACCTGCCTAGCAAGCACGAATCACTGAGTTCAAACCCCAGTCCCACAAAAAGGGGAAATTTTTCTAAAGAGCAAGGGTAAGCAAAGGAGCCAGTGAAATTATAGGTAAAGTGAAGTTAGCATGTCCAAATAATGATGGTGGTAATATCTAGGCAGAATATCAATAACATATAAATTGTACAGAGTAACAAGGTTAACATCTATGGTCTCTGCATTTTTCAGGAGGAAAATAGGGATATTGGTAAACTTTAGAACTTGTTAGTTCGGTACAAATGTTAATTTGAAGGAAAGAACAGAAATAAGTATAATTTCCAAACCAGTTAATTGAAGCAGAAAGAAACATAATTAAGTCAACCAATCCAATAAAAGGTAAAGAAAAACACCAAGATGCTAGAAATAAATTCAGCTAGTTGAACATATATTAGTTAAAATGAAAAATGTATGTTTAACCCATTATTTTCAAAAAGAGATTTGCAGATGGAATAAAATAAGTAAAATCTCACTTAAAGCATGAAGAAAAAGAAGACAGAAAATTATTTTGAGCTGCTATGTTAAAATCAAACAATTAGGCATACTATACAAGAAAGTAATCTTGACCTATACTTCCTGACTTCACAGAAAAATTAACTGAGACTGTATCATAGGCAAAAATGCAAAACAAAGTATAAAGTTTTCAGAAATAAAAAATTAGAAAAAGTCTTGGGAACCTTGAGTTAGAGTTCTTAGATACAACACCAAAAGCACCATCTCAAAAGAAGGAAAATTTATAAATTGTACTTAACAAAACTAGAAATGCTTGTATTCCAAAGACACAGCTGAAAGAATGGAAGTCAAGTCGTAGGGTGGGAGAAAATATTTGCAAATCATATATCTGACAAAGGACTGTATTTAGAGCATATAAAGAGTGCTCACCCTGTAACCCGAGCTACTCAGGAGGCTGATATCAGGAGAATCATGGGTCTAGGCCAGCCCCTGGCCACAAATGTGAGACCTTATTTGAAAAATACCTAAAGCAAAAAGGACTAGTGGAGTGACACAAGTGATAGAGTACCTGCCTTGAAAGCGCAAGGCCCTGAGTTCAAACCCCAAAAGTGAATAAAAAAGAAAAAACAAACTCGCAAAACTTAACAGTAAGAAAAAAAGACAATTTAAATGACTAGGCAAAAAATTTGAATAGCTACTTTCTAAAAATATATACATGCATTGAAATTAAGCACATGAAACATTATGAATTATATTAGCTCTAGGGAACTACAAAAGAAAACACAAGATGCTACCATACAGAATTTTTTAAACACTGGTTAATAGCAAGGATGCAGAGCAATGGAAACTCTCCTTCATTTCTGGTGGGAACAGAAAACAACTGACAATTTTTTATAGTTAAATAGACACGTACCACACAGCCCAGCAACTGCACTCCTAGCTATTTCCTCTAGAGAAAAAAAAATACATCTATTTCCCCCACAAAAATATAAGATATTTATAACAATATTAAAAAACTGGAATTAATGTTCCTCAACTGGAGAATGAACAGACTGTGCATACCCGTTAAATAGAATACTACTCTGCAATGAAAAATAAAGTTTTGATATCAACATGGATACATCTCAACTGCATTAATCATACTAGGAAATAAAAATCCAGCTGAAGAGCTGTATACAATATGATTCCATTTCTATGACCTTCTAGAAAAGGAAAAACCACAAGGACAGAGAATAGATTGGTAATTATCAGAAGAATGGGTAAAAGCAAGTTATTTACAAAGGATTAGAATGAAGGATTTTTTTGAAGAGTGATAGAGCTGATCTATATCTTGATTGTCATCACTCCACACATTTCCAAAACTCATAGAACTCTATACCAAAAAATGAATTTTACTTATGTAAAATTTTAGATTAAAAACTGAAAGTTAATAAGAGGTCAAATGAGGCATAATTGTAACTAGATGGGTAGATTAAATGTCATACAGCTAGAAATTCTCCCCAAATTAATCTGTGACTTCAATTTCAATCAAAACCCCAACAGGGTTTTATAGAACTTGAGAAACTGATATAAAATGCATGTAGAAGAACAAAATCCAAAGACAGTCCTGAAAAAGTACGGTGGGGAAACCCAGTCTTCAATATCGGTAATGATCACATAGCTACAAGAGTTAGCCCACCACATAGGAATGAAGTAGGATCAGGGACACAAAGCTGAAAGCCCAGCTGGTATTTGCAACGTGGCTTCCAGCTTGGGCTCTGTATGCTTGTTGGATCATCTAGTTAGATGTCGCTGCCAGAGACAGAAAGCAGAAGTGAAGAAGCCATCTGGCTAAACTCCTGATAGGAAGCTGGGACAGTGTGTCAAAGGTGCCCATTGCCTGCCTGGTCGCCAGCTTCATGGTTCTGAAGGCCTGTGGCAATACCAGCAGTTAGCAGTCATCTCACCTCTGGACTGCAGCGGTGGTGGCCAGACCTGGGAATCTATAACCCCTGGACTTCTTTTCCCACTGGTGTCTGCCAATTTGGAGAAACTGGAGTCTTGTATTCAATCCCTTTCTGCTAGAAATACCTAGAATGCCATTTCTTGTACTAAATCATGATAGACAAAAAAAAAAAAAAACCTCTTATGAATTCTATAATGCAGAGTCCAGTCTAGCCCGTAAGTCGAAAAATTTAATAAGGACTTATTAACTTTTTTCACCATAAACTTCAAAAATTTTTATTCACTACAACTTTAAAAAATTACCATATCACAAATAAGGAAATTGATTTTTTTTAATCAAGTTTAGATATTTTAAGAAAACAGACTATTTTAAAGAAAAGAAAAGCATATCATAACCAGGTAATACACCTACCAAATATATGCCACATGACCACAATCATTTTTACAAATACTGAATCTTTTTCATAGTAAATGTGAAAGGTACATATTAGATATTAGAGTAAAAACCTTTCTAATAAAGAAAAAAAGCCAATGTATTAGTCTTAACAAGTTACAATGGGGACAAATAAACTACACCCCAAAATAAGCAAGATGGGAGGAAGGAGTAAGCATGCCTTCCTACTAACCAATCTTGAGTAAAACCCAGAAGTCTGTGTGTAGCCCCTGAACACATAAGAAGGAGAGTTGAGATGGGGTGCTAACCACAACCTTGGTTTCACCAACTGCTAGGTTAAAAGACAGAGTTCAATTTATTTCTAAGCAGCAAATTACCTTGAAGTAACCTGGTTCTGGCGACAGCACCTCCAGAGAAACATTTGAACATCTGCTCCCAGGACGTGCTCTCGAACTTGAGACTGGTTTTGAAATTTCATCTAGGTTTCCCTTTATGATATCCATTGGTATCCTAAAACAGACAAAAAGATTTTAAAAACAAGTGACTTGGGGGTCTACCTGTTTCACTGGTCAATTGATGTTTACATCCAGTTAATCAGAACCTTTGTTATGATTACTATGTTACTAGTACAGTCGTACATAAGAGCTCCCCAATTTCATCAAAAGACATCTTGTGCACATGAATTGTTAAATCCTATGTCCCTGAAGGCACAAAGTACACTACCTGGATGTTAGATGCTTTGGAAGGACCTAGGACAGAATGCAGAAGAGAAAGTGCCTTGCTGGTTTCCTGTGCCTGCAGGGAAACACCTGCTGTCTTCTTGGTCTGCCCTAAAAGAACACGTGGGACCCTGTCTCTCAACCAAGACCCACTTTGGCTTCGTGACCTGCCAAGGCCTCTGGCTGCCTTCTAGTTTTCTGGGTTTGCCGTCCTTATCCTAGCCTTTCCCACTCTAGCTCAGCTTCATCCCAAGCCTCCCTCCCAGCTCTGGCTTCTCCTCTCCTCCTTGCTGCCACCTTATCTGGAGCACCTATCTCAGCCCTACTCAATAACCCCTGATTCTACTTCTTCTCTCCGACACAAGAGAACAAACCCTACTCCCTTTACTAGAGGATAGACTGTCATCTGGCTTCAATCTGCAATCTCCCTGTCACATGACACTGTCCACAGACCTCTTACCACCCCACCTTCTCTACCCCCAGTGCAGTTTTTCAAAGCAAGAAACACTAGGCAGAGTGGCATTAGCAAGAGAGAATGCAGGTGTTGCTGGTGCATTCAATCTTCCACGCTGTGCCCTGGATCAGACCCTTCCAGCTTTGCCCAGTGATATTGGAGTAACAGGCAGGCAAGTATAAGGTGGGAGAAACAGAGCCAATTCCAGCTTTTGTCTTCTCAATACTTAGCTTAAATGTGAATGGATGTCTTCCTCCACAGCCTTTTAAATGCTTATAATTATGTAGTAAACCATTTCTCTCATGGCAGAAGAACAATTGCGTCTCTCCTTGCAAGTGTAACAATGTCCTTTCTTACCCTACAAAATGACTCATCTTCCTTTCTGTTTGTGAACAGCAGAGGTACAGTCTAGAGAAGCTTGGACAAAGGAGGAACCACAGACAACCTGAAGGTCCTCTCTCCAACCATGCAATGTGCTGACGGTAATACTTAGGAGACCAGCAGGTCAATTCTCCCCACTCAGCAACTGACAAAGGCATTGATTTCAACATTATTCACACTCTGCAAAGGGGTTCTGGCTCACTCGGGAAGGTACTGACATTATTATTGTGGGATGATGGATAACCCTAGCCCCATCACATCTCAACCAAAAAGCACAAGTCACCAAAAAGCCAAATGTCTTTTACACACCCTGAGCAGCCTGTCAAAGGGGATTTATTAGAGCTTGCAAGGGAGCGGTGAGCTGCAAGCAGTACACAGCTGATGTAATGCATGTCAATAAAGACAGAGACCGGGACCCATCAAGGACACAGGTCAGCTCGGAGGCTCCAGAAACCTTCCAACTTGCTTTAGGAGTAGGTTCTCTCCATTGTTCTCTTGAAAGTAAGATAAAAACTGCAGTCCCCAGGAAAAGTGGGAATGCGACTGACTGTCTTGTCCATCTGGGAAAAAAGTCTGGATAAAGAGCACTGACATTGGATCTTACAGACAATTTGAGTGTTCAAGAAAAAGTTGCTTGTCGCATAGAAATTCCATGTGGAAAGCAAAGCATTGTACAAGAAAACAATCAGACAAGATGTAAATAGTTACAGTTATAAAGCACTCAGAATTCTAGAAAGATTTCTAGAATTGCCAAAATGTATTCAAAGTAAATAAAAAATCATTCAAAACTGGACCACCCTGAGCTAATCACTGTTGGTTCATTTCTTTCCTATTTTTTTTCAGTATCTGTCAACAAAATTGGACTCATGTATTTCCTATTTAACATGATGAACATTTCTTATGACATTAAAAGACTTCAAAAATAGAATATTATTCACTCTATGATATTTGATGAAATAGACAGATGTATAACCAGATTCTAAATTATAAAAAATCACTCTGAACACATGCCAACTTTTTATAACATTCACTTGAAACAAGATTAACTTAAACTTTTTCAGAGGCTGTGAAAAATTCAACTTCCATGGATGATTTAAAGCCCAAATGAAAACACACTGCTGCTGTAATTTGATATTTTTAGATGAGTTAAAGAATTAAAAGAAAAATGAATCCTCCTCTGCTTAGTAATTATGAATAGCAAGCCTACAAAATGTGGAATTTTTTTTCATTATTTTTAAGTTTAAAACTGATTTATGGTCAGTTTGTTTTACTTTTATTATGTACAAAATACTTGTCTATGAGGGGAAAAAATCAAGTAATATAGAAGAATGTAAAAGATTTTAAAGTTAAAATTCCCCTCACCCCAAGAACTCAGATTAATCAATTCATGTAAGCCTTCTTCTTCTTCTTTTTTTTTTTTTTTTACATTTTAAGCATATGCAAAGCTTCTACCCTTTACACCCATCTGCTGCTCCCCAACACAAACACACACACAATGTCATGGCACTTTGAGACTGGCTTTTACACACCTTGTTTTTTTGCTCTGGTTATTTTGGAGATGGAGTCTCTCAAACTATTTGCCCAGGCTGGCCTCAAACCACGATCCTCCTGATCTCAGCCTCCCAAGTAGCTAGGATTATGGGCATAAGCCACTGGCACTCCCAGCTTCCTTTTCACACTTAACAATATATTTTAGTTTTAATCATTATTTATATATATGCTTCATGCTTTCAAACAATGATGCAATGATACCCCATTACATCAATGTAGCATTTTAATCTGCTCATGTAGATTGTATACACAATATTTGCTATTAAAAGCAATTTTTAAATTTACTTTAACATGGATCACAGACCTAAAGTAAAACTTAAAATTATAAAATGTCTAGGAAATATGTGTCACCATGGGTTAGGCAAAGATTTCTTGGATAGAAATCAAAAACTCGATTCAACAAGAAAACAATGATAAATTGGAATGCACTAGAATTAAATACCTGTGCTCTTCAAAGACTTTGTAAGGAAAAGGAGAACAAAACCTTGAAGAAAATATTTGTGAAACACGTCTGACAAAGGACTTGCATACAGAATATATAAAATAGTATCAAGACTCAATAATAAGAAAACAAAGATTTTAGACATCACCCAAGAAGATGTATGGATCACAAATTAGCACATGAAAAAGTGTTCAACATCATTGGTCGTCTGAAAGTTTTAAACTTAAAATCACAATGACAAACCATCACACACCTATTTAAATGGTGAAAATTATCGTTTTTGAGATTACAATGCCAAGGGTTGAGAACGTTGGGAGCAACCAAAACTCTTACAAATGGTCAGTAACCATTCATTTTGGGGAAGCCACTCTGCAAAAGTGCTTGGCTGTTTCTTATAAAGTTAAACATATATTAATCACAGATGCACCCAAGAAATGAAAATCTGTATTCACGTGAATATTTATAGCAGTTTATTAAAACGTGGAAAACAATTAAACTCTTGAAAAGAGTAGAAACTCTTGAAAAGGTAGACTGTGATAACGTTTATACAATGTATCATCACAACAACAAAAGGGAAACAAGCAACTGATACACAGAACACGGATGAATATCCACTGCCTTGTGCTAAATTGAAAGAAGCCAGATACAAAAGGTGACAGAGTGCTCACTTCCATCAGTGTGACATTCTGGAATAGCGCAAAAGCTATGAGAAAAATCCATGAGTGATTGCAGGGTGGGGTCTGGGAAAGGGGTTAAACCTAAGGGATGGAGGGGTGGATGATTACACTGTTCTGTATCTTGATTGCAGAGGTAGTAATTACACACCTGTGTTTGCCAAAACTCAGAGAATTGTACATTAATCATAAATGGTGAATTTCACCGTATATAATTGATATCTCCTGTAATTATGCTTCTACATCCATAACATAAATTAATATTGCTGCGTCAAAGAGCACTTTGGCTTCAGTTTTGCTAGTCCTCCAACCTCTGGAGGAGACCAGAGGTATCTGTGCATTTGGTTTACCTTCCTTTAGTTACGAGAAAAGTTGAATCTCTACTCAAATATCTACGGGCCATCTTTTTATCTTCATTTTTTCCTGGGAAATGCCTACTTGCATCCTTTACGGTTTATGACGGGGACTAAAGGACTGAGCAGTTCTAGATCCTAGTGGGTAGCAGGCACCGGAATGCGGCGTCCGGACCTCAGAGCTCAGACCACAAGGTGCAAGAAACCCCGCGAAACAGTCTCCGCCCAGCAGCAGCCATTCAATGGTCCCGCCCCAGCCTGGCCCCGCCCCCCTGCCCCGCCCCGAGACCGAGCCCGCCTCACATTGGCCCTTCCCGCTCTCCTTGACAGCCTGTCTTCCGCCACGCAGCGGGCCACGGCTCCGCCCCGCCCACTCATTGCCGCGTCGCGCGGCTCTGGTGCTTCGCTTCACTCGGTGTCGACCCTCACCTTCCCCGCGGGGACTCAAGCAGCTGGCCGCCAGTCCGAGCGCGGACGGGGCAGAAGCGTGTCACTGACAGTCGCAGCGTCACCCACTTCCCCCTTTAGGGGAGCGGCCTTTTTCCACACCGCTGCTTCTCAGGAGGTGGAAGGCTACGACGCTCCACCGCCCTGTTGTCTCTAGCATCGCTGTTGCCCTGGCAACCAGAAGATCGCCGCTCCCAGTCTCGCGATAGGAGAAAGGGCCGTACCATCCGGAAACAGGATATAGGGGTCACTGGGCAGCCAGGGACCATTGCAACCGGTGCGGGTGAGGGTCCGGGCAGGCCTGGCTGGGGAGGCCCTGTTGTCTCCTCCAGTCTTCGCCGCAGACGTCTGGAAGGAGAAGCATTTGTTGGTATTTAGGTTGGGGTCGGAACGGAGACTCTGGGTGCTTGGATGGTTCTGCCCTGTTATTGGGACGTCCTGCACCCGAGCTGTTTCCTCCACCATCAAATGAGGGTGGTGTT